GATTCCTATGCATACCATCAGGTGAAGTCCATGTGTATAACCTGCGTTTGTGTCTCTTATAAAATGTATTTGCAATGAATAAGTCATTGATAAGGACAGTAAAAATATCCACTGTGTACGAAGCTCTAATACAAGTATCATAAATCTTCTCTAATTTTGCTTTATATGTACTTAGGAAACCCTACTGCCATGGCTACCACCAGTTAAGTGTTAAAAGAACTCAAAAGCAGAAAAACTTAATGAAGACCATAAATAGACCAAAAGCTATGACAAAGCACATAAGCTTCTCTAAAGTCTGACATATTGAATAAGCTTGGACTGCTACCCCACTCCTACTCTAAGGCAATCCACTCGCTAGATGCTCACTATGAAGATAGGAATTGTACTGCCCTTCACAAATGCTTTAATGAATCAGTATCAATTGAAGATTCATCATACTCCTGAAAAAAATACAAACAAATACTTTAATGAAGAGGAGCAAAAAAGCTCTATTATCTGTCCTTAGACAAAGATTCCTTTAAAACATAAAACCTAAACAGTTTTATTTTTTTTATTCTAAGTCATGCACGAGAAGCTCATGTGTTTCAGAGCAGAACTGTGCTCCCAGATTTTCAAATGGCTGTGATTCTTTAGAAATAGACTGCCGAGCCTTTATTATTAAGGCTCTTCTGGTAGATGCAAACTAGTAACCTTTTGATTAATAGTTGAAGACTTAAAACATTCGTGCCACTAAAGGACTCATGAAAGAGTTATATCCATTTTTAGGGGCCTGTTACAGTCAATAATTAAGGACTTTTTTATTTAAGGGGGGAAGTTAGTTTGGGTCACATTCACACAAATAGTTGGGAGTGGATTAAGATACTTCAATAAAATTCTCTAAGAGAAAAAATATAAACATTTCACTTACAGGGGAATACTCATCTTGTCCTTTGGCATGAAGAAAATGGCTCTAGTAGTTCCTTCTCTGCAAGGGTCATCAGATTTGTGGCTGGAACACTTCGATGGTTTTGAGTATTCTTCTGAAGTGTGAATATTATGGAGTCTATAGGCTAAATTCAACTGGGTTCCTGTCTTAGCTAATTCCTTGGATTGGCATGAACTTTCTTTTCTATCAAAGAACAAGGTGACAGGTCGGTCCTTCACAGATGCATGAGCAGAGGAATTATCTTTTGGGCCAAGAGCTGTATCTTTTACAGTTATTGACAGGGGCACTGGTACAGTGGATTCTCTCTCATGTGGAACATCTGGAATGAACAGAGAGGATGGCCTTTCTACTACTGGCTTTGATTGATGCAAAGAAGGCACCAAGGAAGATTCTCTAACTTTTGGCTTTTCAATTGTCTTGAATGTTTTACGCTCTTTCTCTAAAATATTTGTTTGCTGGCGAATCTGTTTCATCATCTCTTTTTCATTCTTCTGCTGCAATTGCTTTTGCCTTTCTTCCTTCTCAGTGTTTAATTTTTCTAACTTTTCAAGCACAGATTTAGAAGAATCTGTACTTAGTGAAGCAATGACTTGATCTCCTAAAAAGTCACACTTTCGAGCTTCTTTATTGACATCGAAGGTAACAGCTGTCACTAGAGATTTTTCACTTTCCAATAGTTCTTTACTCTGAATGCCTGTATCTAGTTGGGAAATAGTTTTCAACGGATCCTGTTGGGGAATATAAAAAAAAGTAGGCAGACTATTTGAAATAAAAGAATCTCTTGACTGTGGTTTACAGGTAATAGATTGAGAACCACGGACCACCTTTTCCTTCAGAGTCCCGTTCTTCAAATGTTCTGAGTTAGAGGCTATCTGTTTCTGCATCACTGCATAGCTAGTCTCACTTGAAGCACTGAAGGTACTATCCTGTGAATCAAATTTTTGAGAGCTGCAAAATATCTCCGGTGATGGAACATGCAACTCTCCATCTGAAATAATGGGCTCCACTTTGCTCTTTTGGCTTTCCTCACAGCTCAGAAGTTCCAAACTTCCTTGAGAGCTTTCACTGTCAGGTGTACCCTGTAGAGACTGAAGACCCTCAGGCATCAGTTCTGTGGACCATCTACGTTCCTCTGAAGGTGACACACCACCAAGAGAACGGACTTTTAGCAATTCTAAGCTAAATATAGCTTGCTCCAGTTCTCTCATTCTCCGACTTTCTCTTTTGGCCCGGCCTACTTTTTTCTGATGGAGATCTTCCAAGGACTTGGGTCTCTCTCTCACAACCACATCTTCCTGCAAGTCCACCCCACTTTGGCTTCGGGTTCTCTCCTGTCGTTGGATTGAGGACTCCACAGAGCAGTCTCCTGAACTTTCATGGCTAATTCGATTACTCTCTATTACAGATTTACATTCCTCTATGGCTCTTACTCTATTGTCAAAGGAACGATCTTCCCATTCTGAAGGATCTGAACCTTGAATCTCCAGAAAACCATATCCCTTCGTATTTACCAATCCAAGTTCTAGTTTTGTTTCTTTTCGTCTTTGCTCTTTTAAAACTTTAAATCTATATGAAAACAAGAAGAAAAAGGTTACAGATATCTACTGGTGACCACTAAAGAGAAGACAGTACTGAGAATTTTATTAAAAATGGAAAAGTATACAAAATTTCTTTTTATGCTAGCTCTTTACATAAGTAGTAAGTAGTCTCATGTAGATACATTTTAAAACCGCATCATTTCTAAGGTAATTTTTTAATAATTGAGCTAAACTATTATTTGATACTAATCTTAGAAAATTTTTATAATACTAAGTATTTCTCAAGCTAAATTAGAAGCACATTTCATAATTCTATTTTTCCAAGGGAGGGGATACTGTTATTGAATGCATTATTTCTAGCTAAGTACTCTAGTCAAAACACAAAACTCATTTTAACAATATAATTACTATAAAGTAAACCACCTGAAATTAAAGTTTCTTAAGATAAAAAAACAGAACAGTATTACCAATCTTATCTGTTTCAATTTATTGGAAAAGTTCATTCTTAGCAGCTAAAATCACAGACAATCTTGATTTTCAAACTAAAATTTAATTTAGTAACAGAGCTGTTTTAGTTTCTGTTATTGACCAGGTAGAGAGTTCTTGTTACGTAGCCTGTAAGGACTGAGCTGTTAACCCAACGATGGCACTTTCCTGGAAGTTCAAATCAACCAGCGGCTCTCTGGGATAAAGATAAGCAACCTCTTCCTGTGTGATTTGTTATTATTGTTGTGTTTTATACTTTTGAGTCAGAAGTGACCCAGAGTTGACCCTCTGGTAAGTTTTCAGAGGTAGTTAATCGCACAGGTGGACACTGCCCATCCTCCTCCCATAGAACAGCTTGCTGTAGGTCAGCTGTAAGTTTTGATTCTATGAGTTTGAGTAAAAAGCCCAGGCAATGTGGATTAAAACTGGAGAGTCTAATAGTCCAGCAAAGAAGATAAATACACAAGTGTAAAAGCAGAAAAATAAATACAAGCACTGTAAAGAGAGATAATTTGTAATTATTATAGCAAAAACCATTACCTTTGTCTTACTCTGAATCCTCTACATCTGGCCTGCAAAAGGATAATTTTGTTCCTTTGTTCTTGATATCGCTTACTTTCCCTATAGCCTTTCCATCTTGCCTGTATGTAGACAGCAGCCATGTGTCTCTGCCTATAATGCTCCCGCCACCTCTGCTGAATGATAATGGCTGCAGTCCGTAGCTCTAAGAACCATCGCCTGGCTAAGTGAGCACGCCAAGAAGCCTGCAGAAGAACAGCTGCACTGGTCATGACAAAAGTATTCTTCCACGCAGCTGCATCTTGGACTTGCTTCTGATTCACGTAATTCCTCCAGAATCGCTGTGCGAAAGAGAGAATAACAAAAGTTAGTGTTTTAATTTATATCATTTTCATAGAAAGGAAAATATGAATAAATTACCTACATCGTAGTTATAAGATAACTGGTTAAATATCTAATCTATTTGTTATTAAAATTAAAAAAGGGTTTTCTCCCCAGGTACAGTCAGCTAAAAGCAATTATTTTAAAGAACATAAATTTAATGAAACTAATTATATTTTGGGGTTGGTTTCATAATTTAAAAAGTCATTTCTAGATCCATCCTGAAATACAATGTGGTGAGCGACAGGATAATATCCATACATATACAAGGAAGTCCAGTGAATATCACTGTAATTCAAATATTTGCACCAACAACTAGAGCCAAAGAGGAGGAACAGAAGAATTCTACCAACTTTTGCAGTAATAAGTTGATCAAACATTCAATCAAGATGTACTGATAATAATGGGTGACTTGAACACAAAAGTTGCAAACAGGTAATAAGGATCAGTAGCTGGAAAATACGGGGTTGGTGAGAGAAATGAGGCTGGAGAAAGAATGATAGAATTCTGCACATTCAATGATTTATTCATTGGAAATACCTTCTATAAGAAATATAAAACACAGTCTATACACATGGATCTCACCTGATGGCATGCATAGGAATCAAATAGATTACATTTGTGGAAAGACTTGGTGGAGAAGCTCAATATCAGCAGTGAAAACCAGGCCAGGTTCTGACTGTGGGACAGACCACCAACTACTCATATGCAAGTTCAAGCTTAAGTTGAGGAAAATTAAATCAAGTGCACGGGAACCAAGATATGACCTTACGTCTGTCCCACTCGAATTTCAAAACCATCTCAGGAACAGGTTTGAGGCCTTGAGCACCAAGAGTAAGCCAAATGAGCTCTGGGAGGATATCAAGAAAATCATCCATGAAGAATGCAAAAGATCATTACAAAGTCTGAAAAAGAAGAAAAGACCAACATGGATGTCAGATGAGACTCTGAATATTGCATTAGAGTGCCGAGAAGCCAAAGCTAAAGGAAGAAATCAAAGAGCTAAACAGAAAATTTCAAAAGTTAGCCCAGGACGACAAAACAAGATATTATAATGAAATGTCCAGAGAGCTGGCATCAGAAAATCAAAAGGGCCGAACTTGCTCAGCATTTCTTAAGCTGAAGGAGCTAAAAAACAAATTCAAGCCACGGGTGGCAATACTTAAGGATACTTTGGGTAGAATGTTAAATGGTCCAGGAAGTATCAAGAGAAGATGGAAGGAATACATAGAGTCACTGTATCAGAAGGAATTGGCTGACACAGAAGAATTTCATGAAATGACATATGATGAAGGAGGAAGTTCAAATTGCTCTGAAGGAATTGGTGAAAAAACAAGGCTCCAGGAGTTGACGGCATACCAATTGACATATTTCAACAGACAGACACTGCCCTGGATGTGCTCACTAAGTTGTGCCAAGAAATCTGGAGGACAGCCAGGGGGCCCACTGACTAGAAAAGACCGATATTTGTTCCCATTCCAAAGAAAGGTGACCCAACAGAGTGTGGAAATTATCGAACAATATTATTAATATCACATGCAAGGAAGATTCTGCTGAAAATTATCCAAAAATGTTTGGAACAATATGTCAGCAGAGAACCGCCAGATGTACAGGCTGGATTTAGAAGAGGCAGTGGTACTAGGGATATTATAGCTAATGTTATATGAATCTTGGCAGAAAGCAAAGAATACCAGAAGAATGTTTATCTGTGCTTCATTGACTATGCAAAGGCTTTTGACTATGTGGATCACAACAAGCTGTGAATCCTAGAATGGGAAAATCAATGGGAATCCTAGAACATTTGATTGTGCTAATGTGAAACCTATACTTGGACCTAGAGGCAGTCATCAGAACAGAGCAAGGAGACACTACATGGTTCAAAATAAAGAAGGGGGTCCATCAGGGATGTATTCTGTCTCCATACCTTTTCAATCTGTATGCAGAACAGATCAGCCGAGATGCTAGGGTGTACGAAGAGGAATGTGGTATCAGGATTGGTGGAAGACTTATCAACAACCTGCGTTATGCAGATGACACGACCCTGCTTGCTGAAACTGAGGAGGACCTGAAGCACTTACTGCAGAAGGTCAAGGACTGCAGCCTTCAATACAGATTGAAGCTCAACATCAAGAAAACAAAGATTTTCACCACTGGGCCAACTGGCAGCATCAGCATGGATGGTGAAGAGATTGAGATAGTTAACAGATTTAGTTTGCTTAGCTCCACAATCAACACTCCTGGTAACAGCAGCCAGGAGATGAAATGCATTGGGAATGTCAGCTGTGAGAGACCTCTCAAGTGTACTGAAGAGCAACGATGTCAGGCTGGAGACGAAGGTGCGCCTGATCCAGGCTATAGTCTTCCCAATTACATGCTATGCATCGGAGAGTTGGATAGTGAATAGGGATGATAGAAAGAGAATTGATGCCTTTGAGCTGTGGTGCTGGAGAAGAGTGTTGAATATACCATGGACTGCTAGGAGAACAAACAGGTTTGTCCTAGGGAAGGTGAAGCTGGAATGCTCCCTGGAGTCCAGGATTCTGAAGCTTCGTCTGACATCCTTTGGGCATGTTGCAAGGAGGGACTGGTCCTTGGAGAGGGACATCATGTTTGGCAGAGTGAAGGGGCAGCCAAGGAGAGGAAGACCTTCGATGAAATGGATCGATTATGTGACTGGAGCAGTGGGAATAAGTGCGTTTGAGATGTCTAGGTTGGCACAGGATAGAACGGCGTTTAGAGCTCTTGTACATAGAGTTGCTATGAGTCGTAAATGACTCAATGGCACATAACAACAACAATTACATTTTAAATACTAGTTTTGTGTTTCTATGGCTACAAATTAATTTCAATAAATATGTTTCTACATGACATTTTGTCCAATGAGCATTAATGAGGTCCAGGTCACCTATAAACATTTCAAAGATAAAAGATTTCAAAGACTGATACTTTTCTTTCACATACAGAAAAAATTCTATGTAGAACATACATTAAAATGGAAATTGTGAAATAAGGTATTTCTCATAAGAAATTAGTGCATAGCAACTAAAACAAACATAATTCTCATTTACAATTCCAAAAATATATTAAATAAAACTTATTAAATAAGACACATTAAGTCCTTTGCAACAAGACAGAACAACCATAAATTCAGTTTCATTTTAATTCAACTCAATAATTATTAGTAGTCTACTATCAGATGTCAAAGGGATACTGGAAGTTCAACGGCTAAAAAGCTTGACTGTTAAATAAAATTTCCATTTTAACCCAGCAGCCACTCTGATGGAGAAAAAGATGGAGTAATCTGCTTTCATAAAGATTTACATTCCTCAAAACCTTACTGGACAGTTCTGCTCTGTCCCAAAGGGTTGCTATGAAGTTATGAATTAAGAGTTTAATTACTGGCAAACAATTTACTGTGGCTGTTATGTGCCAGTGAGTCACCCACAACTCAGTGACCCTATGTGCATTAGCTCTATAAGCTGCCCTGTTACTGAGTCCTATGAATAATTCAAAATAAAGAAGATATATTCTAATCTCCAAAGACACTGTTATTTAAATGTTCCAGCACAAAGTTCTGTCCCTACAACAAGGACTAAATAAATTATCCAATCCTATGCAAAAGCCTTTGCTTCACACCTGGATAATAATGGATGCTTGTCTCAGCTGGAGGAAATGTTGCCTACACAGCAGGACCCTGAACCATCTCTGCAACAGTATGATTCTTCGAAGCACCTCTTGGTGAAGGAGATCTTGTAAGTGCTGTCGCTCTTGCTCCTTTAAGAAAACCTACCAAAAGGGAGAAAAACGAGGAATGTAATGTAAGAAGAAATAAGAAATTTCTTTCATGAATTTTCCTTCCTGTACTAAACATTTAAATAAAAGCAAATACATACAAATACAAATGCAGTAATGCTAAATATTTCTATTGACTTATCCAAAGTAATATGAATCAGAAATGGAAGGTTAAATGGAAAGATTCAAAACCACAAAAATCTTAAGAACTAGAAAGTGTGATATATTAATCTTTTGGAGAAATTACTGTCATCATGTGCTACTACTGGCTATATATTTAATGTACCATTATATGTCCTTTATTTCTAGGGTGCTAGGGCACAGGAGAAAATTGAAATGCAGAAATCTTGACATTTAATCACATGAATAAGCCAATGATAATAATCTTTTTTTAATATAATAATCTCTCAGAAGTCTAACATGCCTTAAAAGAATGTTGAGAACATTATGCTTTGTGAACTAATTATGAACTAATTACTATTTACTAGTAATTACTAATTACTATTAACTGCATTATGAACTAATGCAGTTTCATAAGGACAAATACTGCTTAAGACCATTATTGTAAAAATAGAAGGATAACTAGTATAATGTGTATGGGAATTCAATGGGGAAGGAGTGGGAATGGAGAGGTGAGGATGAGTATGGGAGAAACCACAGGGTTGCACCGTTTGGTGGAACGAGGCAGGTGGAAGCAAATGGGAAGGATCTAGGTGAAAAGACAGGGTAATGATGGGCAAGGTAAAATGGGGATTAATTTTATAAAACATAATGCATGAGAGTGATTGTATGAAATACAAGATGAAACAGTGTGAAACAAAATGTATATGAACTTTATAAGCAAACCAATAAAAAAGTTTAAAAAAATTCATATGCTCTCTCCCAAAGTATGTTATCTTCAATGCGGTGAATAATTAAATTTTTAAATTTCATAAAAAAATTTTCCATAACCTGGGGGATACAAGGATAAACTAGACATATTCCCTTTGGATACTGGATTTGTACTTCACCTATAAGAGCAAACAGGTATCAATAGTCAAAGAGAAAACAATAAACTAATAAAATCTAAGGACAGAGGAAACCACCAGAATAAAAGCAGGGAAAAGAAATAATACTGAAGATAAATAGGTACAATTGCTTTTGTAAAAGAAGTGATTAAACAGTGCCTGGGGGTAAAAAGGATGTTTGAATTTAATGAAAATACTATCAGAGTGCCATTTTTGAATGGAAGTCCTACATAAATAAGTTTATTGGGATATTGATATTGATTAGAATGAGTGCAGTAAAATGACAACTATACTGGACTCAGATAAGTAAACTATTTATTTTAAGAGCAAGGTAGGTATTTAGGGTGGTTAAGAACTTGAACTAAAAGGGCAGTAGTCGGAATGGGAGAAAAAAGGCAATGTAAAGACCACTTACAAAGGAATAAAAAAAATACCACTTTATGTAAAGTAGAAGGAAAAGTTAAGCCAAAGATGATTATTGTTCCAACATAAGAAAACTGAATGAAGGATTTCAGAGGGAGTTGATAAATTCACCAGCTGGTCCATGGGAGAAGGAGGGCAATCTCCTCCTGTGCTATTAAATTGCCTCTGGAAACCCATGAGAGTGTCAGCTATGGCTCGGTTCCAACTCAACGGTGCACAACGATAGTTGATAAGTTTACAGGAGAAACATAAGTAAGTTATATTGGACAAAAGAGATGGAATATAGAACATCTAGGAAGAGTACTTCTTAGGTAACTAAAACTAGTCAGACTAGATAGAGCATTGGTAAGAAAATTTGATTACTGGCTACATAATTAACTTTGGCATAAATTTCTCCCTGATATTTAATATATTATCTTTATTATAAACATTTTCACAAGCAAAGACTGCCATTATAATTTATACTTAAATATACACTCAGTTTTGAAAAAGTATATGTGTGTGTGTGTGTGTGTGTGTGTGTGTATAAAAATTTACCATAGTTTTTCCAACTTGATAATTATCTGAATTAAGATGTCTTTTCCTGAAGAAATTCTGAATGTTAAACTTCGATGGAGTAATATTTCGAGGAAGAAGTACATGGAAGTGGCTCACAAAATCCTGAAAAATTAAAAGAAAATGTAAACTAACATGAAAAAAAAGTATCTATATATATATATCTCAATAAAATCTCAAACTAGTTAGTTGTCCATTTGTTATCTTCCTCACTCTTTTTTTCTTTTCCCCCTTTATTCTCTTAAACATAGCAAAATTAAAAAGTTCTTCTTCATTTAAAATATTTACATTAAATGTGAACAGTCATGTACTCAATTGTATTCAAACACAAGCTTAATGAGACTGCTCCTAACCATTGGAAATGAGCACTTACTATCCACTTATAAAATGCTACATAAAATAAGGGATGGAAAAGAAGAAGTAATGAAAGTAAATTTAGAGAAATGAGGCCCCTAAGATAATAAGACAGATAAATTAGCTGATGCACATATATTAAATAGTTATATTAAATTAAATTAAATTAAATATACTAAATACAATTATAAAAATATAACCTGGAAAGAATATTTGCAGCTGTATCCTGATTGGCGAATTCTAACTGTCTCCAGCATTCCAGTGTACCGAAGCTGTCTAAGTACGAGGGTATCGTTGAACCTTAAGGGGAGCTAAAACAAAGCAAACAGGGGGGGGAAATGACTTGTAGAGTAGATCACCAAATTAATGTTTATCTTAAGTTGGACTGACTGGGAGTTATGTGGTTAAGATATAACACAGGTGATATGAAATGTTCTGATTATCTGCATCTAGGAAAAAAAGAGAACAGAAGCTTACAGCCTCTCTCCAGTTGTACAGGGGAGGGCCTCAAAGCTCAAAAAGAATTTACTTGCTCACAGAGAAGACTACATAATTGAGTTACTGTAAAATTTGTATCAAAATTAAACTATTTGTACATTCTAAAGGGCTGTCTATATTTTTAATTATCATTTCCCCCTGTAATCTTGCTAATAATAATAAAAAAAAATCTACTGCACACATCCTACAAGTTTCCTTGGTTACCTGAGAACACACAGATTTCTATATGACTCGCAAAGATAGGAAGGTCTAGTGGCCTGTCTGCAGGGATTTACAGTGCTACCACGAGGCCACACCTCCCTGGCAGTTCAAATCCACTAGGGGATCTTTGAAAGATAGGCAATCTCCTTCCATGTAATTTACTATCCTTGAAAACCCTACAGTCACCCAACAGAAGCTTGGTTATGAGTTGGTTCCAATCTGACAGCCATGAATGAGTTAGTCAATCAATTGCCTCTACAGACTTATCAAATATAACTGAAAATGCACAGTCAACAGATGATAAACTAGATGAAGGGGTATTTCCTAAAAATGAAATCCTGTGGCCTAGTGGTAAGAAGTTATGCTGCCAACCCAAAGACATGTGGTTTGAATCCATTTCTCCTCCATGACAGAAAGATGGGCAATCTCTTTCTGTACTCATTACTGCCTCTAAAAACCCACCAGAGAGTCAGCTGTGAGTCAGTTCTGGCTTGACAGTGAATAACAACAATGTGCATCAAAATAATTCACAAAAATAAATAAACAATCAAACAAATAAAGGTAAATCTACAAACTGGGAAGAAATATTGCCAATGACATATCATAGGGGCGTTCCAACAGCTCAACAAGAGGGTGCAGAAACTACAACAACTAACTCAAATACAAACTGGACAGAGGAAAGGAATAGACACTTTAATGAAGAAGACATTAAGATGGCAAACAAAACCATGAAGATATGCTGAAAATAATAAGTTATTAGAGACATGCAAAACAAAACAATAAGAGATCATGTCACTCCAATAACAATAGCAAAGTAAAATAAGACATCATACCACACATGTTGGTGAATGTGTAGAAAGACTGAAACTCTCATACATTTCTTGTAGGAATGCAAACTATAAAGCAGGTTGATGCTTCTTTAGAAAATTGGAAATAAAAATATTTGATGCAACAATCTCACCACTATATATTTTTCCAAAGAAACAAGTTGCTACATAAACAGATATATGCACATTCAAGTTTACTGCAGCATTATTTATAATAATAGCAAAGAGACAGAAACAATTCAAATGCCCATTAAACGAAGAATCAATAAACAACTGAAGGTACATCACACAATGGAATACTATGCAACACTAAAAAAAAATAAAGAATTCACAAAACACTGCATGATATGGATGCATCTCAAAGAAATTATGCTAAGCAAAATTTATCAATCACACAAGGACTTTTTATATAAAATGAGTGTTATAAAAAGCTAAAGAAAGGTTTACACATAAACAGAATCCTTCTTAGATAGTTACCAGAGTTTGGAAGAGAAGGAAGAAGAGTATGAATTAATAAATGGGTAAGTGAACGGAAAGGCAACATATAATAAAAGGTCATGAGATATTATCATTAATTAATTACATTAACCAACTATAATTGTTATAAAGTAAAACGTGAGTCACTGAATAACAAACTAAGTTGTTTGTATACTTTCACTCAAAGTTTTTTTAAAAATCCTACATATAAAACTATTTCAATTTTTGTAGCAATAAGAACATCTATGAAGTGCATAATCTAAATCAGAAGCATTCTAAGTATTTTATTTATATATGCTCACAAAAACACAATGAGGATGATATTGTAGTCTACTCATTGCTGTGTGCCAACAAGTTGAAAATAACCCATAAATGACCATCCAGTAGGTTTTCAGAGGCAATAAATGGCACGAGAGGAGACTGCTCATCCTTCTCCCACAGAGCTGTTGGTGGATTCCAAATACATGCCGTTGGAACGGCAGCAGTGCTTCTTACCACTAGAGCTCCCTACACATGGGAAAATACTTCAATCTGCTCTGAGTACAAATATTTAGACTCTAGCTAGCAAATAGTTAAAAGCAGAAACTAAATGTACTTTTTGTTGTATAGGATACATGTGTCCGGCTCTGGAAACTGTGGTGAAAGGAAAATAAAAGTTTCATCAGTTACCCAACCCTGACATAATTCAATCTATTTCATCGGGATTTGGATTGCAAGACATGGACAGAGACTCAACTGAATTCAGCCTGCAGAATGACCCAGTGATGGGTATCTCATGAAAACTCCATTCATCATGATAAGGTCCCTTTTTTTGATGTTGTTAAATAATACATTTTATGATTGATATACATTTTCCCCAACCCTAAGACCTCCTATGCTGAATAAATTATATCCATTCTGGAAATGTCTATAAATATGCATGATCCCCTTTTGTGAAATGTCACAACTCTAAGCTTTCTAGGTGACTATTAAGCATTTCAGTGAGGGAGTACACCTCTTTTTTGATCAATTCTGCTTTCAAGTTTGTGTTCATCTCTTTAACTCATACTGTATGGTCCCATTTGGTAACATTTTTGACAAGTTAGGCAGGAGTGACTGCTCCGTGTTTTGGAATTTTTTTTAAGGTCTTTCTCTTTGTTTCTGGAACAGACCTGGTTCAGATACAGGGGTGACCCCTGAAAGTGACAGAAGAATCTAGCTACTTTGGTCAAATCAGAGTGTGTGCATCACTGAGTTCAGTTTTCAATAGATTTATAAGGTTAGCCAGACACATGGTTTGGTAAGCTTGCATTGCTAAATGCTTTATTTCTTCACTCAGCCTCTGGTATTAAGCAGAGCTAGTTAAATCATGGGAGGAGGTTTCCAAGGCTTAGTGGCTAGACATTTGCCATCTAATTCTGTTGGTCCTCAGCTCAACGCTGTTTCACTTCCTGTCTTTTCTTGCACTGAAGAGTGCTCTTTTTGCCTATATTACCTGAGAACGTGTGGGTTGGTTCTGGCTTTGGTGTTTTTTGGTTAAGTTGTCTTTCATGTCTGTGGACATTAATGAAGAATGAGTAATGCATAAAAGTTTATCATTCAACCTTAAGTATGTTTTAAAGAAGTGGGAAAATGACTCTATGGAAAGGAAAAGATGAATTTTTCTCTGTAATATTGCTTGGACTCACTATCATGCTGGCGGCTGTGAATGTCAGCCAGTAGCTCAATCATTAAATTCAGGTGGATTTATAATGTACTAGAAACAGAATTAGAAATCTTATGTGGAGCCTCTCATGTTGTTAAATGATGATAAGGAAACTCAAGGGTCTTGTAAGATTTGCGTGCAAAAGAAGCTAAAAACTCAACTGTGCACATGATGGTGGGAGAGGATTTCCTGGAACATAAAGGGCTGCCCTAGCCTCCTCGACCACATTTCCCTCAACTATTTTCAGATCTAAACCCTGGTCAGAGGTCAGTGGAAGCCAAGACTGATCTCCAAAGACATCCCCCCCCCCTCCCTGCAACACACAGTAGGAGGAGAATGCCCTACAAAATACCTGATTTGATCTGATTTAAACTAGCTTCAGGGCAAAGCCAAAATTGGGATGCAGCTTCAAGTCACTATTTTCTCCATCACACTCTGCTGGCAAAAGGAGGGTTAATAAAAGCCTCTATCCCATTCAGGCTAGTTGATCTGCTTATCTGGAAAAACTAGCCTAGTTTGAGAGCACCACAGAGTAATTCTAACAGCACTATGCTGTAGTAAATAAATGATCTGTCCAGGGAAGAGTTACTTATCTAAAGTGATCATCAGTAAAAGAAATCAGGAATTGCACCCACAAAGAAAAAAAAATCCCTACTACACACAGGTTAGCACTACCTGAAAACCATCTCCTTAGAGACCTCTGGTGGCCTAGTGGTAAGAAACTGCACTGCAATTCCAGAGGTCTGTGGTTCGAATCCACCAGATGCTCTACTGGAGAAGGAGGGGCAATCTCCTTCTGTACCAGTCAGATCAGATTTGATGGTACACCACAAAAAATTAAAAAAATTTAAAAAAAGAACAAAAAACCAAACATCCCCTTACTGAATTGGACAGCTGCTGACTGAATTGAATGGACTATGAAAGTGAACAGGTTCATCCAAGAGAGGGTGAAACCAGGTTGCTCCTTGGAGGCAAGGATTGTGAACTTCGTTTGACATAATCTGGACATGTTACAAGGAGGGATCAGTCCTTGGAGAAGGATATCATGCTTGGGAGGGTGGAGGGACCGTGCAAGAGAAGAAGACCCTTGAACAAATGGATTGATTCAGTCACTGGAGTAATGGGGACAGACGTGTCAGAGACAATGACACTGGCATAGGAAAGAGCAGGGTTTAGGGCTGTTGTACACAGTGTCGCTATGAGTTGCAAGCGACTCAACAGCATGTAACAAAACCAATGAATATGTAAGAACCACACTCTGTAAAAAAAATCTGTTTCAGTCCTGGAGTTTGATCCCTTTTTTTGACCTTAATAAGTAAAACTATTTGGTTTAACCTATCTATGTGTCTATCTCTTTACATCATGACAAGTGTGTACCTAGAAGGCCAAGTCTGATAACAGGCTAAGTAGCTCATCTAGTCACAAAGCTCATAGAGTAGAGTAGAATGATTCTTTAAAAAAAAAAGTACAAAAATGGCGACAGGCTGTATTGAAGTGGGATCTATTTGAGGCTGTTATACGAACGCCTACTATACCCTAAACCTTGTCACAAGGACCTCGCTTGCGCGTGCATCTGTTCAGTGTCCCCAGTGGGGCGAGTGTCCAGTAAGTGCTCGGACTCGCAGGAGAAGTGCCCAGGGGGACGTGATTGGTTGTTTCTTCCTGTATGAAGCGGTTGGCACCACTGAAGTGACCGAATGAGAGACTCTACAGGGGCAGGATGAACATAAAATCAAAAAGCCAGCATGTAAATTTGAAGAGGGTCAGGATGTCCTAGCTAGATGGTCAGATGGCTTGTTTTATCTTGGAACTATCAAAAAGATAAACATATTGAAACAGAGCTGCTTTATCATATTTGAAGACAGTTCTAAATCCTGGGTTCTCTGGAAGGACATTCAAACAGGAACCTCTGGAAGTGGGGAAATCGTCTGTACAATATGTCAAGAAGAGTATTCAGAAGCTCCCAATGAAATGGTTATATGTGATAAGTGTGGCCAAGGCTATCATCAGCTGTGTCACACACCTCATATTGATTCCAGTGTGATTGATTCAGATGAAAAATGGCTCTGTCGACAGTGTGTTTTTGCAACAACAACAAAGAGCGGTGGTGCACTTAAGAAAGGACCAAATGCCAAAGCACTGCAAGTCATGAAGCAGACGTTACCCTATAGTGTGGCAGACCTTGAATGGGATGCAGGTCATAAAACCAATGTTCAGCAGTGTTACTGCTATTGTGGAGGCCCTGGAGACTGGTATTTAAAGATGCTACAGTGCTGCAAATGTAAGCAGTGATTTCATGAAGCCTGTGTGCAATGCCTTCAAAAGCCAATGCTGTTTGGAGACAGGTTTTACACATTTACTTGCTCTGTCTGCAGTTCTGGACCAGAATACCTCAAGCGTCTACCATTGCAATGGGTAGATATAGCACACCTATGCCTTTACCACCTAAGTGTTATTCACAAGAAGAAATACTTTGATTCTGAACTCGAGCTCATGACATACATTAGTGAAAACTGGGATAGATTACATCCTGGAGAGCTGGCAGACACACCAAAATCTGAAAGATATGAGCATGTTCTGGAGGCATTAAATGATTACAAGACCATGTTTATGTCTGGGAAAGAAATGAAGAAGAAACATTTGTTTGGGTTGCGAATTCGTGTTCCTCCTGTGCCACCAAATGTGGCTTTCAAAGCAGAGAAAGAACCTGAAGGAACATCCCATGAATTTAAAATTAAAGGCAGAAAGGCATCCAAACCCCTGTCTGATTCAAGGGAAGTTGGCAATGGCCTAGAAAAAAAAGGAAAGAAAAAGTCTGTAGGTCGTCGTCCACCTGGCCCATACACAAGGAAAATGATTCAAAAACCTGCTGAGCCACCTTTGGATAAGGAATCCATTTCAGAGAACCCTACTTTGGATTTACCTTGTTCTATAGGGAGAACTGAGGGGCCTGCACATTCATCCAATACCTCAGACATGGACTTCACGGGTGCTTCCAAAGAAACTACCTCGTCAAGCATTTCCAGGCATTATGGATAATCTGACTCCAGAAAAAGAACTCGTACGGGAAGATCGTGGCCTGCTGCAATACCACATTTGAGGAGAAGAGGTCGTCTTCCAAGAAGAGCACTCCAGACTCAGAATTCAGAAATTGTAAAAGATGAAGATGGCAAAGAAGATTATCAGTTTGATGAACTGAACACAGAGATTCTTAATAACTTAGCAGATCAGGAGTTACAACTCAATCATCTTAAAAACTCCATTACCAGCTATTTTGGTGCTGCAGGTAGAATAGCATGTGGTGAAAAATACCGAGTTTTGGCTCGTCGAGTGACACTTGATGGAAAGGTGCAGTACCTTGTGGAATGGGAAGGAGCAACTGCATCCTGACTGTAGGACTGAACATTATGTTCACTGCACTCTCATTTCTGTAGGTACAAGTCAAAGCCCTGAAGAAGCAAGGCTTTTAGTATCTTTTCTTAAAAAGAGAGGGAGAAAAAA